CAAGGAAAACAATAGAATGGGGAAAACGAGAGAAAATTGGAGATATCAAGGAACATTTAGTGCAAAGTTGGGCATGATAAAGGACAGAAAAGGAAGGGACCTAACAGAAGCAGAAGAGATTAAGAAGAGGTGGCAAGAATACACAAAAGAACTATACAAGAAAGATTTTAATGTCCCTGATGTCCATGCTGCTGTGGTCACTGACCTTGAGCCAGACATCCTAGAGAGCGAAGTCAAGTGGGCCTCAGGAAGCATTACTAACAACAAAGCTAGTGGAGATGACAGTATTCCAGCTGAGATATTTAGAATACTAAAAGATGATGTTGTTAAGGTGCTGCACTCAATATGCCAACAAGTTTGGAAAATGCAAGAGTGGCCATGGGATTGGAAAAAGTCAGTTTATGTTCCAATTCCAAAGACTGGCAATGCCAAAGAATGCTCAAACTACCGCACAGTTGTGCTCATTTCACATGCTAGCAAGGTTATGCTCAAAATCCTACAAGCTAGGCTTCAGTATGTGAACCGAGAAATACCACATGTACAAGCTGGGTTTCAAAGAGGCAGAGGAACTAGAAATCAAATTGCCAACATTTGCTGGATCATGGAGAAAGCACGAGAGTTCCAGAAAAACATCTACTTCTGCTTCATTGACTATGCAAAAGCCTTCAATTGTGTGGATCACACAATTTTGCATATAGCAAACAGTTTCAATCACATAGTTGTGACCTCTGGCAAATTCTTACAGAGATGGGGGTACCAGACCACCTTACCTGTCTCCTGAGCTATCTGTATGCGGGCCAAGAAGCAACAGTTAGAACCAGTCATGGAACAACCGATTGGTTCAAAATAGGGAAAAGAGTACGACAAGGCTGTATATTGTCACCCTGCTTATTATGCAGAGTACATCATGAGAAATGCCGGGCTGGAAGAATCACAAGCCGGAATTGAGATTGCAGGGAGAAATATCAACAACCTCAAATATGCAGACGATACCACCCTAATGGCAGAAAGTGAAGAAGAACTAAAGATCCTCTTGATGAGGATGAAAGAGAAGCGTGCAAAAGCTGGCTTGAAACTCGACATTAAAAAAAACTAAAATCATGGCATCTGGGCCCATCGATTCCTGGCAAATAGAAGTGGTAGAAATGGAAGCAGTAACAGACTTTATTTATTTGGGTTCCAAGATCACCACAGACGGAGACTGCAGCCATGAAATTAAAAGACTCTTGCTCCTTGGGTGGAAAGCTATGGCAAACCTAGACAGCATATTAAAAAGCAGAGACATCACCTTGCCAACAAAGATCCACATAAGCAAAGCTATGGTTTTTCCGGTAGCAATGTATGGCTGTGAGAGCTGAACCATAAGGAAGGCTGATTGCCGAAGAATTGATGCCTTTGAACTCTGGTGCTGGAGAAGACTCTTAGGAGTCCCTTGGACTGCCAGAAGGTCAAACCAGTCAATCCTAAAGGAAATCAACCCTGACTGCTCATTGGAAGGATTAATAATGAAGCTCAAGCTCAGATACTTTGGCCACATAGTGCAAAGAGAGGAGTCTTTGGAAAAGACCCTGATGCTGGGAAAGATTGAAGGCAAAAGGAGAAGGGGATGGCAAAGGATGAGATGGTTAGATAGTATCACTGAAACAATGAACACGAAACTGGGCAAACTCCAGGAGGCAGTGAAGGACAGGAAGGCTTGGCATGATACGGTTCATGGGGTCACGAAGAGTCAGACATGACTTAACGACTGAACAACAAAAATAGTTGTGTGGTTTTGCTCTGTTGGAGTATCCTACTGCATCAGCAGCATTTTTCTCTTATTTTTTTTTTAAATCAAAGTGGGGTTTTAACTATCTCTTTTGAGTAACTTTACTTTCTGTATTACTGTATTGTTCATGGATAATTTTATCTCGACAGTTTTGAGATCTCTAAAGGACCCCTCTGTGATCATTCTTTAGTCTCAGAGGTCATTCTCTGGGTGGCAGTAATATTGTTTTTAAAAAGACCAGATTTCAGACGAGCTCTAAAGATTTGCGATCATTAAACCGTCAGACTGTGCACAATATAATTCATGTCTGACAGCCTTTTCTTTATCTCTTTTCAGGATTGGGAGACAAGTAAACTCTGATTAATGCAGCAAGCTCCCATTTCAAAACTGGACAAAGTAACCAACATTACAACAAATGGAATTTTGAACTGCAGCTATATTTACAAGGGGGAAAAAAGAAAAAAAAAGGCTTTCTGCAAGGAATGGCATTCAGCCTGTGCCTTCATTATTTTTGCAGTGTCAAGAAAGAAAGAAAGAAAGAAAGAAAAAGAAAGAAAGAAAGAAAGAAAGAAAGAAAGAAAGAAAGAAAGAAAGAAAGAAAGAAAGAA